AGCTCAGCCCCCATCAGTGTTATCTTTGTGGTTGGGTTCTCGTTCATTCATTAACAAGAGCACACACTCGCACACACAGGGCTCACACTGACAGAAACGGCCTTCTGTCTTTCCCCTTGCCCTACAAAAAAATATCCACAGGAGATCTGCTCTAAGCTGCTTGAAACAGGAAAATTCAAGTCTGTGCCTTAGATCTCTTAAAAGGACCAGCTACGGAGAAAAGGGCAGGGTTGCCCAGAACTTTGTTCTACATCTGTTGGAAAGCTGCCCGAGCCAGTCCTGTTTGTCAACACCAGAAGCCACGCCCTCTCCTTGGAGAGCCAGACAGGCAGCCAATGGGAAGCCTCACCTGGACATTCTCGGAGAGACAGGTAAGGTTGAGGAAACACCTGTCAGACCAGAAGTATAAAAGGCCCCGGAGCAATTTGTCTCTATGCCAGTGATGTAAACAGTGTCGTTTGAGGAGGCACCAGGAGAAATATCAGCTCAAAGTGGCTCATGCCGTAAACATAAGCTGCATCCACTTAGGAACGGCATCCAGCAGAACAGGCCTTTGGGGATAAGACAGAGTGGAAGATGCTTTTCTACTGCTAAAAATCTATAAGGTAAGGTAACTTTCTTCTTCCCACTCAAATCACATTTTCTTTTGAGTCTTCCACGTTTCTTCAAGTTTGCGAAAGGGAGTTCCAGAACTGGGGAAGGAAGGTAGGGATTCAAAGCTGTCATCTAGTTTATGGGACACGATCCACCAGGAAGGTGTCTCTCTGAATGGCACAGAGTGTTGCCTGAATGCGGTGGTCCACGTCCTGGCTCTGCCACAGAGCTGTCCCAAGGGGCTTGGTCACTCCACCGTTCTCTGGCCAGGAATGTAGGAATCGTTTGCTGGTATCAAAACCACCTTGCAAAACCTTGGCAAATTTATTCCGTCTTCCGGCATTTTGCTAAGGTGGGAATCGAGAATGAGCATTCTATATCGCTTTTTAGCTAACTATTTATACACCATTGGTGTGTGGGTGGGTGCGCTTCTGTTTGATTCTTGCTTTCAGATATGGAACCTTTCAAAACTCCCACACGTTTTTTATAAATTTGATGGAAAGAACTTCACATTTAAAAAAAATTTAATCTGGAAGCAAATGAAGCTGACAGAGGTGCATAAAAAGGCAGGAGACTAAGGTGATGTAGATCCTAACCAGAACAGACCTAAAAGGAGACGCTTTTGTAAATTCCCCGGCTTTTGTTGGATTACTCTAATAATCTGATTTAGGCTTCAGCATTTAGCTCAGAAAACTCTGCTTTGAGACTCAGTGGTGACGGCCCTGAGTTCAGATTACTGCTTCCCCCATGACAGGCTCCTCATCTTTAAGACCTGCATAAGTATTTTTCAGACTTGGAATAGCTTGTTGTTTAGTTATTAAGTCGTGTCCAACTCTTTGTGACCCCATGGACCAGAGCAAGCCAGGCCCTCCTGTCTTCCACTGCCTCCCGGATTTTGGTTAAATTCATGTTGGTCGCTTCAGTGACCCTGTCCAACCATCTCGTCCTCTGTCGTCCCCTTCTCCTCTTGCCTTCACACTTTGCCAACATCAGGGTCTTTTTCAGGGAGTCTTCTCCTCTCATGAGAGGGTCAAAGTATTGGATCCTGTAGCTTCAGGATCTGTCCTTCCAGTGAGCACTCAGGGAATAGCTACACCTATGGAATTTGTCCCACGCACAAGGTGGAGAATTTTGCTGTAGTTCATTTTTTTATCAGAACTCGCCAAAAGCCACAAAGCGCTTCATAAATTTGATGAAAAGACTTTAAAACTGAAATGTGCGAGGAACTGGAACTGACAGATTCATCTGTTCCTAATACGCCACCTCCAAGGCAATTCAAAGGATCACAAAAATAATAGGTTATTATAAGATAACAAAATTGTGATAAAACAAACCGCCACTCAAGAGGATATCCGGTAGTAACAGTCTGAAAGTTACCGTTGGGGGGTGAAAGAAAAACCTTAGCCAGTTTCAACTTCATCAGCAAATGCCTATATTAAAAAGCACAGAGTTTAAAGCTTGCATTAGAAAGCATAAAAGCAAGAAATTAGTTTCTCATGATGGGGGGAAGACCATGTCTCCTGCCATGATGTACTTCAGAAGTGGTTCAGAAAGCTGGTTCTCAGATTAAGGGCTGTGTGGCAGGAGAAAATTCCTTCAAATAATCTAATTTCAAAGAGTGACCGAGCCAGAACCCTATCAATTTTTGCATAAGCCGCGCGAAACACGATGCAGATAATTGCAGCTAATTTACGAGTCCGGGAACCCATCTCGCTTGCCAACTGCACAGCTGAGACGTGCTCCGACATCTCTCGTCCGTTAGCCGTAGCTATCTGAGACAAGTGATGCTGACCTTGCCTAAACGACCACCCACTTCTAGTAGCCTGGGATCATTTTGACTGCACGGGTTCATCCCACAGAATCATGGGAGTTGTAGTTCAGTGAAGCTGTTCTTTTTCTTGGCTGTCATTCAAGGGAGAGCGTTAGATCTCTTTAGCAAAGGATATGATGCTTTCCCCCTACATCAGTGGTCCCCAACCTTGGGCCTCCAGATGTTCTTGGACTACAACTCCCAGAAGCCTTCACCACCACCCCTGCTGGCCAGGATTTCTGGGAGTTGAAGTCCAAGAACATCTGGGGGCCCAAGGTTGGGGCCACTGCCCTACATGACCGACTCCAGGACTCTTTGGGAGGCAGCCGCAGCAGTTAAAGCAGCATCCACCCGCTGTAACTGTAAAGTGCCAACAAGCCATTTTTGGTTAGGAAAGAGGCCACGGTATCAAAATGGAAGAGTCTGTTTATAAAGGAGCTCACGAGTGAGTGTAGCATAGTGGATAGAGCGATGGAGTTGCATTTAGGAGACCTGGGTTCGAATCCCCACTCAGCCAGTCATGGTGAGTGGCACCAATTTGAACACCCTATTAGGAGCTTGCCGTAAGTTAGAAATCGCAGCAGAAAACAACAATTATCTACAAAGAAGCGTTTTCTCCCAGTAGTAACTCCCTAAGACAACCGAGCGGGCATCTTTTGGCGTGATGGCAAACTTTGAACCAAAATAAAATAAGATAGATAAACCAACACTGAGAGATGGTTCAGATGTTCCTGGAATTTCTCCTGGGGGTGTGTGTGGAAAGGAGGTGACTTTTGGGAACATATCTGTGAGCAACAGATTTTCTGTTATGGCTCCACCCCTCCCAACGTTTGGAGGCATCCTGGCTCTTGGTCATTTAATCATCTTCTCGCATGGCAATGGCATGAGATCAAGCGCCAGGGAGGATGTTGACGTGAGGGCGGAGGCGGGCTCACTCAGAGGCATGCCGGTGCCTGTCAGGTGGAGGAATGCAGGCTGACACCTGCCGAGGAATGAGATCGAAATGGATAGATCACCTGAAGTGACAAGAGGTGGAAATGACTTTCGTAGTTTGCTGATTGGTGAAAGATATTTTGCTTTAAAGAAAGAAAGAAAAAAAAAGATCTTCAGTTGGCTTCAAAGCTAAAAATATCGATGGAAAGAGTGTTGGTTGCCAAAGCAGCAGCAGAAGATATCAAAAAGGTTACGGAAACAAAACGCGTAGAAACCTCGATGAGGAGCATGAGAGAATGTCTACATTCCTCTCTCTGAAACAAATAATGCTTTACATCCTCTCAACAACCCTGCAGGGTAGGTGAGCCTACGAGAGGGTGGCTGCCCCAAGTTTACCCAGTGAGATTCATGGTGGACGTGCCACTTGAACCCTGGTCTCCCTGGCTCATAGTCTACCCCTTTCTAATTAAAGTCTGTTACTGATTCCCATAGAACTTAAGGTAAAGGTTCCCTTTAACATTGAGTCCAGTCATGTCCAACTCTAGGGCGCGGTGCTCATCCCTGTCTCCAAGCCGTAGAGCCAGTGTTTGTCCGAAGACAGTTTCCGTGGGCACGTGGCCAGCGCGACTAGACACAGAACGCCGTCACCTTCCCACCATGGTGGTCCCTATTTATCGACTCGCATTTTTACATGCTTTCTAAGGGCTACGTTGGCAGGAGCTGGGACTAGCGACAGGAGCTCCATGTGGATTCGAACTGCTGATCTTCCGACCTCGCAGCCCAGAGGTTGCCGTCTTCAAATCCTACTCTGGGTTCAGGGAAGGGTGACAAAAATTGCACCACCTCTTTCTGTGTCCAGTGTGACTGAGTTATCCAATCTATCCCCGTGCACAGGTGTGGCCCAGTCCTGTGTCATCAAGGAGCCTCTCTGTTGCAACTCTGTACGAGTCACCTTTCTGGGAATGACTCATTGATTAAAAGGAGACCGGGCCAGAATTGTGACTTTTGCACATGCACAGAGAGTAGGCTGTTCCAAGGGAGCATCACGGTTATCAGTTGTCACCTTCAACCACTGGAAAGGCTGGATCTGTTCCCTGTTGCCCAAGGGGGCTCAAATTACAAAAAGGAGGGAAGTAAACATTAACACGTGATCCCAAATTGTTCAGATGCAGGAAAGACTGCTTTTTCCATTACAAAGGATTTTAAGGAGAAGGCAAATGGTCACCTGATAAGGGACAGCATAGGAGAAGATTCCCCCATAATGGAAGACGGTTGGAATGGATGACCTTTGAGATCCCATGGAAAGAAAGATCAGGAGACATTTGATGAGGATATTAAGAAGTTGAATTAGACCAATTAGCACTAGGAAAGCAAAACAGATCTCGGAAACTTCACTTTTCTGACCTCTAAATCCCAGAATTCTGGATGTTGTGGTCCAACCAAGAGCCTGTTCCAAGTTCTCAATCAGAAGTAGAATGCAACGGGATAGAGAAGCTCCATCGTGAGTTATAAAAGCAAAGAGCCATGGAGAAGGCCAAGGCTAAGCACCTGAAGCAGTCTCAGGGGTTCACACGGTGGTCAAGCTGCCCATTGCGCTGAAGTCCTTCAATTAATTTCCACCCAGACTTGACTCGGATGAGTAAATATTCTTGTTGCTGGAGTATTACGAACTAGGATGTGATTGCCTGCCTGCACCTTCACCCTAGAATTAGCTTATGACTCTGTATCACTCAGATGGATAACAGGGAGACAGGTGGGGATTACTCTAAAGTCCCGATGCTACATCCCAACCAGAGCACGTATTCTGCCTGCATCTCACAAGGTTGACTCAGCCTTTCTGATTAAATTTGAATTCTGCAGCTCGGCCTCACTCCAGAAACGGGTTCCACTGGTTCGCCGGGTTGATGCACATCAATGCTTTTTAACTGCAGGCTCGGAGGAACTTGGCTGAGATGGCCCCAGCCCTGTCGAAATTGACTCGAGGTGTTCCTGGTTGTGGTTTTTGAACTCTCTCTCCCAGAACTCGTGGGAGAACGTGGCCAGCAAACAGACACACCTCTGAAATTCACCAGAGACACACAAAGAGGCTTCATGATACAGTAGGTCGTAAGTTGAACTAGGAGAGGGGAGGCTAAGGTTCAAATCCCTGCGCAATCCATGATTTCAGCTGGTTGCTCTCTCTCCCTGATCTACACTGCAGGTCTGTCGTTAGGATAAAAGCAGGTGTATTTGTCTTAGTGAGTGAAGGAAAACCAAGATTTTAAAAAGAGAGATGTTACAAATAGCGAGTTAAGAAATGTGTTTGGATTTCCCGACTTGTCACCAATGCCGCGTCCATTCAATGGGCTTGTCTGTCTGTCTGTCTGTCTTAGGCGCGTGCCCGGCTGCCCACCACTGCCCGCCACCACTGATCAGGGAATATAATCTCCTTTCGAGAGATCCCTTACGGATTTCATGGAGACTGCAACTCTGCTCTCCTCCCAGCTTAGGAGAAGCACCGGCTGGGGTATGTGTTTAGCTTTTTGTTTTGTTTTGAATGCTTTTATTTTGGTGGCTGTTCTCTTACCTCCCCTGCTTTAGTGGTGACGGGCGGTGGTGGAATGAACGGCAGCCAACGGTGGTTAAGATCAGGCTGAAAATATAAACATAAAAAAAACCCATAAAACTACACTGTTACTCATGCCCTCACTTTCTCTTGGTTCGTGTCTCCACAGGTTCGGTCATGTCCTGCTTCACCCAAATATGGCACACGGAAGTGCCCGAGTCGCCTCCCGTGAGCCCCACCAGCCCCGTTCCAGCTGCGCCCCACGAGATCCCGATCCCTCTCAGCCCCATCGTGATCACTTCCCCTGGTTCGGAAGGCCGGCCCAGTGTGTGCTCCCCGGTGTCTTCACCCCTCCGCTCCCCTCTTTCTTCGCCTAGCCGTTGCCCCGTCTGCTCCCCGGTGGACGGAAAGACCAGGCTCGGCTCTCCAACGGACCGGCCCACCTCTCCCATCGAGTGCTCCATCTGCTTCAATACGTATGACAACCTTTTCAAGACGCCCAAGGTTCTCCAGTGCAACCATACCTTCTGCTTGGAGTGTCTGGCTCGCTTGACCGCCGCGCGCCCTCCGAATCACGTCGAAGACGAGCTCCCGTGCCCGTTCTGCAGGCAGGTCACGGAGATCCCCCACGAAGGGCCGCCGGGTCTCCAGACCAGCACAGACCTTCTGGCCACCCTGCCCCCAGAGTTCCAACGAGAGAAGATGCTCTGGATGGAAGGCACCAAACTCTGCTGCCGGCAGTCATCGGATCCAGAAACGGCTGACAATTACGTCAGCATCGACGTTGCCCCCAGCAAACCCGAAGTCCCGGAGATGCCTCCTGAAACCTTTATGGCCAGGCTCGCGCGCTGTGATATGTGTGATGACTGGAAGCGTGTGCTCTTGCTCTCGGTTTTGATCATCATCCTCTTCTGTATCATCCTATGGCCAGTTCACTGCGCGATGAAGACAGGCAACTTCCGTTGCTTCACCCACACGTATACCAAGCCGAACTATGTGACATATCACCATCTGACTACCCCAGCCCCAACGGTGCGCCCCGTTGGCCCTATAGAATGAGCCACCTCTACCACCGCCACCACCACCCTGGGGTGCAAGCATAGAACCAGTAAAAGGCTGGTGGGTCCCTCAAGGAACTGTCCAGAGTTCTGAAGCCCAACCAGCCCCTTTATATTGCTCCAGAAGGCAACCTAACTTTTGGGCATAATCTGGAGCAAGTTCACCAGGATCCACTGCATAGAACCCAACTGTGAAGGGACCACAGAGATGGGAAAGGTTTTTTGGACTACAGATCCCATCATCCCACAGACAGGGAATGCTTCCCATCTTAAGAAGAGATGAACGCCTGCTCAGCAGGAAAAGCACCTGTAGAGCCAATTTCCAAGCACTTCTTTAATTGTATTATACTTTTTTTTTTCAAGATCATATTGCAGATGATGGGAAAGGCCTCCATCCAGGAGCTCAGAAGAACAGATTCAAGCCCAAGGTGACAAAGCTAGAAGGCTATCGAGCTGCAACTGAGCCGATGCCAGGGGGAGCCACAACGTATAAGCACCAGGCCACGGTTTTGCCGGCCACTCTTCCATATTTTCACTTCTCACGTTTGTGCTGCTCCTTTTTTGACCACATCACCAAAAACAGGACCGTCCTTCATCCCACACCCTCTCCCCATCCCTTTTGGGTGCCCAAAGGGTTTAATGGATCCCACAGCCCATTTTGCCCCTCCATGCCACAGAGAACACACACCTTTTGGAAAAAGCAAGGCCAGAAGAAAACCATGGCCGCCCATTGACATTGTCCTTGTGGGCCAAAGACCCAAGTGAGCATTTATGTGGAAAGGACTGTACCTCGGGAACAAAGACCGATGCCTGTTTCAACAGACCGATTCCGCTCCGCCGTTCTGACCGACGCTTTTGTGTGACTCTCAACCTTGGAGAAAAACAAAGGATCTATTTAATTTTATATGCGTTAATAAACATTTCAGTTTTATATAAATGGGGTTGTGTGGTGGTCTTCTCCCCATCCCGGTTTGGTGGGCTTCTCCTGGGTTCCACCTTGCAAAGGAGACTGGGAAGATGGAACACGACTTAGCTGAAAAGAGTGGAAGGATTAGGGGATGAGTTTGTGAAGGAGAGGGCAGGGGGTCCTTCGGTAGCGGGCTGAAAGAGGGAATTTCAGGGACTGCAGCTTCTCTGGTCAGAGAGGGACCCAATGGTGTCAGAGAGTCTGCTTCTTCCACTCCCAGCTTTAGTGTTCGTTCACAACACCACACTCGTTTCTCTTTTGTTTCTTTGCTTTTTAAGCATCCTTTTAACAACAGCAAGAAAAAGGCATTTATTAACTTACTGTGCTTTATATATATATATATAAATGAAACAAAGTAAAACAAGATTCATAAACATCTAGAGGCACTTCCAGATCAGCTCCAGGCAATCCATACAAGGTTGGATCAGCAGCTTTTTCTGCTCTCTTTCTCCTGAGTAAATTAGGCCACATTTTGTCCCTGAAGAGCGGATCGTCCACCTCAATGACAGGCAGCTTATAAAATTTTTTGGAGCTTCCTTTTTTTTCTGGGTAGAATCCAAGATGCACTTGAGGACAGCCAGGCCTGGCGACAAAACAAGCAATGCGTGGTAAAGGGCAGGTTCTTGCAAAGGTACGGCTGTAACCCCTCGATGGATCCTGAAGGAGAGTCAAAGACAGAATTGGGTGTTAATATCAGAAGGTGAAAGGTAGAATTGTTAAGTCCATTGATGTCAGAGTTAGTCAACCTTTTTTTAACCTACTGCCCCCGACAGGAAGAATAAACACTTATTTCAAACCTGCCATTTATAATTATTTTATTTTAAATATCAGAGGGAGGGAGGAAGGACTAATGATGGATGGATGGAAGGAAGGAAGGAAGGAAGGAGAGAGATAGGGGGAAGGAAGGAAGGAAGGAAGAACTAATGATGGATGGATGGAAGGAAAAGAAAGAAAGAAAGAAAGAAAGAAAGAAAGGAAGGAAGGAAGGAAGGAAGGAAGGAAGGAAGGATGATTAATGATGGAAGGAAGGAAGGAAGGAGAAACTTTTTTTCCAATTTAGAGATCTTTATAAATTATCATAATAAATAGATGATCATGAATTTGGGTAAATATTCCAAACACAAACTGAACTGATATTCCCTCCCCACCCCCCGCCTCTAATAGTCAAGCAATAGGGTTTTTTTCCTTGGAGGCCCACACATACCTCATTTCTAGCCACCAGCATCTGCTCCGTTCCTAAGTGGCTATCGCCCCGAGTTACTTATCCCTGAGACCTTTGGCGCTTTGACATTGAAGTTCTCGTATACAGAGGCTGATTCATCATCAACCCTATATCACAGAAACAAACGTGTCAGGGGAAACTCTTTATTTTTCTGTTTTGTTTGTATCCTGCCTTTCTCTCAGAACTGGAACTCAGGGCAGGTTACAAAACTTAAAACACATTAGTCAACTCAAGAGATCTGGTCTTAACTCACCAGAGGCCTCCTCAACAGACTTTGTTCTAGATTTTACATATGACCCCGATATTGAGGGATGGATCCATCTGCTTGCCTGTCTCTATTTCCATATTCTCTTAACATGCAGCCTATTAACTGCAGAGCTTAATGTTAAACACTGAATCTTTTTGTCCAAATTATAAAGAAATGTGCAAATTAGTTCTTCTGCCTTGGTCAAGGTTCAAAAGATTCAGCTACTTCCCTCTAAGGAGTGGAAGCATGTTGTACCTGCTGCCAGACCAATGCTAAATGCAGAGGAGCATGGTGGGGGAAAATAGGTGGCAACCCTAATAAATAAACTCTCAGTGAGCGTTAGAAACATGGTTGAATACCCAGCCATTTAAGATTTTTAAAACCCTTAAATATGTACGTTTTCACTGGAAATGTTTAGATCACAAGTTCTTTCTTTTCCCCGTGAATTTTGGAGGAAACCTGGGAAGCTGATGGGTTCTTATTTCAGACCAAACAAACAATGAGATCTTAACTCATGCCTGCGTACAGTGAAAATCCTGAATATGAATTCTTTTCCTACTACAATTCCCAGAATCCTCCAGCCAACACAGTGAGCACTGAGGATTCTTGGGTTTTTCCTCCCCTACAGACCTTCTTCTCTAGGCTTCATACCAGACGACACCCTTCCCCCCCCTTCCCCCCACCATTGCCAAATTCCCTCCACATTCTGCACGCCTTACCCCATCGGGACCCGTGGCGAAGGGGGCCGTCCTTTGGTTCTCGGTTTCTCCGCTGGTGGATACCGGATATTCAAATATTCTTTCTCCTTCCTCATGGTTCTCTGAAAATGGGGAACGACACCAACAGTTTAAAGTGTGACTATTTTAGAAAATTGCTTTATTTATTGAGCAGATGACATATTCCTGGAAAAGGTGCAAGATGCATTTCATTAAGGGGTGTGTGTCAGATCATCTCATGCTCCCTGTTACTGAGAAAGCCCAGGGTCTTTGACCCCATGAGCCCTGCCTCCAGTGCACCACCGGAAGCCAAGTACCTATCTTAGGGAGTGTTTTAGGGGATGAGGCTCTTCGCACTTGGTAATATCCAACTCAGTGCCTTGAACTGTGCCCAGAAACTGCTGGAAGGCAACAAAGTTATCTTATCTTAGGTCCTGCCATTGCGTCCTGGCAAGCCGCACCCCTTTCACCCTACCTGTCGCTCCTCCAGCTCCTTCTGCTCCGTTGCGATGTAATGCTGGACAGCCATGTAGACAAACTTGTACTGCGCCTCCGTCTGCACCATTCCTGATCGCTGCCGTCGCACCATCTGGATGGTCTTTGGGATGTCAATGTCACAATCCAAGCCTGCTTAGAGAGGCAAAAAAAGTGGGGTGTGGGTTAAGCGAAGAAAACTGGAAAACAGAGCAAATCCTGAACTAAGGATGGGATTTCCAGATTGCTTGGACCGTAACTCCCAGAATCCTCCATTCTAGGAGTTCTACTTGACAGATAGATTCCTGACAGACATCTAAATGTGCTTTGGCTCACCTGGGAGGAAAGGCCTGAACAGGAAGCCTTTGAGTTTAGCTCGGCCTAGCTCCACTTGGCTTCCTGCTCAGAAGGGAAGCTTGGCCACAGCTCGGCCTAGCTTAAGTCTCAAAGTTTTCCAGTTGAGGCCTTTCTCCCAGGTGAGCCAAATTTATATGCCTGTCTGTTAGGCAAAACTCCCAGAAGGGAGAATTAATGGGATTTGTATTTCAAGAAATCCAACAGTCCCATCCCTGCCGGAAACATCTGAAGCACAAATGCATACACACCAAAATTAAGTATGGGGATTGCCTCCACCAGTCCAGTTTCCTTTTATCGTATTGAGGCAATCAATTCCCACTGTGGGTCTGATGGAAACCAATGGGATGGATGACTCAGCCATTCTCGGAGCAGACCCACCAAAATATGATCTAGGACTTCAGGTTTAATGTAAATTGTACAAAATTGGGTGCCCAAGCCAGATCGATTCAGCTCCACCATGGATCTATAACCCCTGGTGAAATTGCAATCATATGCTTCCCCCTATTTACAAGTCTGCATTAAACATTCAAAACTTTTATGCAAATTAGTCCTCTTCATTTAAAACAGAGAAGAAAACCAGAAAAGTAGCTATTTCTACATTTACCTTGTCTGTGAATCGTGTCTACCAAGATGTCTATCACGATGATTGTGCCTGTGCGTCCTATTCCAGCACTGGAAAAAGAGAAGAAAGAAGAGAAAAAGGTTTATAACCAGTCTATCATTTACAGGGTCTATGAACCATACCTCAAATCGCACTTTAAGACAGAGGCATATTTCCTGCTCTTATCATATTATCCCTCCAGGCACGACAGTATTCCAGTGCTCCTGTGCCTGAGACATCTCATACTGTGCCTGCTCACGCACAACAGGGACCATATCAGATCTCAGGATCTACTGCTGGTGCATTTTGATTTCACTTTAGCTATCATGGCTCCATGGCTCCATCCTCAGGAATTCTGGGGCCTGTAGTTTGTGAGGTGCTTGGGGTTCACTGCTACAAAGCTTCAGTGCCCTGAAATACTGCATAGGGTCCAAAATATCTCACCAAAGGGCCAACCTAACAGATCCAACTGGATGGAGCAGTGGCAGTTTTAAAATACAATCACATCATTGTAATTCAACTGTGTAGGTATGGTTTGAGAATCATCACGCAGAGTCTCTGATCTCAAATTAGATGCCCCATCAAACTTCCCAGTCTTGTCCTGTTAGCAAACACCCACCACGGCCAACCTCTGGCGCCCACCATGGCCTGGCTGGGTGGCGCCCTCTGCCAGTCGCTTACCTGCAGTGCACAACAATGGGCCCCGGGTCTGGAACGCTCCTTTGGGCTCTGTTGACTTGATCCAGAAAGCTGAGGACCCCTCCAGGCTCATTCGGGACCCCGTGATCCGGCCAGCTGAAGTACTGAAAGTGCTTAATCTGCCTGGATCGCTCTTCCTGCGGCATGTGAGAAAAGGAGGGGGGGAATGTGGAAAACATGAATAAATGTGTGTACATGAAAATAAATATTCTTCCTTTTTTCATTTTTATACTGGGATTTTAAAATTAAGGTTCAATTATGTGTTTCTCACATTAGTTTATAATCTGCTAGTTCTGTAATGCTATTCTACAAACAAATACATATTCTAAAAAGAGGGGAAGAAAAGGTGTTAGACTTTATGCATGTGGTTGGCTGGGGGAGAGATCATCACAGTTCCAATCTGAGGAAGGTGGGTGGATGGATGGGGTGGAAATCGTGACGTGTTTGTCGTGACTAGTGGAATAATTTGTCCAGGCATGATGTAAACAGGACTAGGCAAATATTTACACCGTTATACACCCCGCACCGTGGATGTTATGATGCCAAACTGTTGTTTCATGACTTCTGCCTCCTTTGCATCTCTGAGTCACAAACAGCTATTGAGCAAAACGGGGAGACAGCAGCAGGCGGCATGTGCCCCAGACTGTGGGTTAAGAACCACCCTGGGGTAAAAGGGACCACAGCTATCTGCTGGAAGGCCACACAGGCCCGGATGGCTCAAGCGTGGGATGAAGTGGCATAGCCAAGGTAGCACAGAAGGGTGTGGGGAGAGGGAGCGAGATGGCATGGGCCGGCAGAGGCACCCCACAGGCATGTGAGAAGAGGGGCACAGGGGCAACCAGAGGGAGGAGCAACCCTCGGCAGATGTAGCAACTTTTTAGGTATCTCCAACGCGGTGGGTAGACAAGACTCAGAAGAAATGTTACGCCTTGTTGGTGCAATCCAGGGCCTTGTACAGCATTATACCAAATCAAGACAGCCTGCCCATTTATTGCATCGATTAGCTGATAACACACATTAGTCTTCTGCTCAGTTTCCGGAAAGCAAGCACAAAGGCCACAAAGGGCCTCACCATGAAGACGGCAGGACAGTCCCTGCCAAGACTTCCGAGATGAGGACTACCGGTATGTGTGGAAAGGCTTCTGAAGCCTATCTGTCAAACGGGCTAGAAGCATGAGTTTTCAGGTTGGTCCCCCCCCCCCAAGAAAGACACCCAAAAGTCACATCCACTCTTATGCTTTTTGATCTTTTGAGTAGGGATGGGAATTTTAGAATTCTTGAATGGGAACTAGTGGAATTCTCATCCCAGAAGTCACCTAGAATCCCCCAGGCAGACTTTCTGAGATTGGGAGAGGAGAAAGCAGAACAGAAAAGAGAGAGTCTTTCCATCTCCATATGGCATTTCTCTCCACATGGAGCAGCTGGGAAGGGAACGCCCCTTCAGCTGCACTGCTTCCTGGGAATGGCCCCAATGAGCCATAGGTAGGGTACTCTAGCCACCCCTCAGACTCTACAGCAGGGGGTCACAACCTTGGATCTCCAGATGTTCTGGGATGGTAACTCCCAGAAATCCTGGCCAGGCCAGCTGGCGGTATATGGCATTTCTCTCCACATGGAGCAGCTGGGAAGGGAACGCCCCTTCAGCTGCACTGCTTCCTGGGAATGGCCCCAATGAGCCATAGGTAGGGTACTCTAGCCACCCCTCAGACTCTACAGCAGGGGGTCACAACCTTGGATCTCCAGATGTTCTGGGATGGTAACTCCCAGAAATCCTGGCCAGGCCAGCTGGTGGTGAAGGTTTCTGGGTGTTTGAGCCCAAGAACACCTGGGGAGCCAAAGGTGGGCCTCATTGCTTTCTAGAATCATTCGCCGAACGACCCTCCCATGGAGCAGCGAGACGACTTTCAGGAAGCGGTGTGACTCTTTGTCTTTTTAGCCAAATTACGTGGAACAAACCTATATAGACAAGATATGTTTTGTCTAGCAGTTCTAGACCACGTCAGGGTTCCAGAAGTCCTTGGAATTATGAAAATCCCACCCCAACTTTTCACCTTTTTTTGCAGGACATCCGCCTATACCCAGCGGGAAGGTGGGAGCCTATCCAAAGGAGAAGGATGAGAATCCCAGAAATTCCAGTGGGAGAAATGCAGATGCAAAGCAAACATCAGCACTTGGATTAAAACAAACTAGGACGCGGTTCGGTAAGAAAAGAGGAAGAGGGAACCTCACCCTATCCGTCCGTGCAATCTCTAGCTCCCGGACGTGATAACCCTGAGCTTCGTGCTCATTGATGTTCCTCACGCTGGTGTGCCCATATTCTTTGGTGCAGTTTTTATCTGGCCAGTACCGGAAACATTTATTCTGCAGAGAGAAAGAGACATGGTATCTAGGACGCGGTTCGGTAAGAAAAGAGGAAGAGGGAACCTCACCCTATCCGTCCGTGCAATCTCTAGCTCCCGGACGTGATAACCCTGAGCTTCGTGCTCATTGATGTTCCTCACGCTGGTGTGCCCATATTCTTTGGTGCAGTTTTTATCTGGCCAGTACCGGAAACATTTATTCTGCAGAGAGAAAGAGACATGGTATTCCATGAAGAAGGTGTAGGACATGAACGGTGGTTTCCAAAAACCATTATGATAAATAAATAAATAAATAAATATGAAGAAGGTGCAGGACATGAACGGTGGTTTCCAAAAGAATCACCATTATGGCAACAATAAGAAGGGAGTTCTGGGCAATCTGGAAGCCAGAACAAGCTTTTGTGGATTATAGCCCACTTGATCAGCTGCCTAGAGTGTAATTTTAGAGCACAGCTCACTCCCGGAACACCAGGCTGCCTCCTCCAAGCATCTGCCGACTGAGGCCACCGCTTCCAGCTGCCAAATGATAGAACCGTTCCCCCAGGCCAGGATACGTCTCGCTTGGAAACCCTACAGGAGGGGGAGGAGACACAAACCACAGCAGCACAGAGGCCCTAACAGGGGACCCTGGTTTTCCATACAGAGCTATGGAGGCAATTCAATAAGAAAAGCAAAAGCAAAGCAAAGCGTGCTGCTTATATACCACCCCATAGCGCTTCGAGCACTCTCCGGGCGGTTTACAATTTTAATTATACAGGCTACACATTGCCCCCCCAGCAAGCTGGGTATTCAATTTTACCAACCTCGGAAGGATGGAAGGCTGAGTCAACCTTGAGCCGCTACCTGGGATTTGAACCCCAGGTCGTGAGCACAGTTTTGGCTGCACTGCTGTGGTCTTGGCATGGGTAATGAAAAGAAAAGTGTTGCATGCACAAGTTAATCAGACTGTCAAACGGCATGACAAATATCGGCCGGGCGTCACACTGGTGCTCTTTCAAGTTCTCCTTTGAAGAGGGCTGTTCAAGCTCATCAGACACTAATTATAACCCACTTGCTCACTCCAACATGGTGTGTGCGTGTGAGAGAGAGAGAGAGAGAGAGAGAAATAAGGGACACCAGGCATCCTCTCCAATCTGCACATCACATCGAGGAGCTGACCAGTGGCAGAACGGCCCCCTGCCACATGTAGAGGGCCATTCATCATTCAGCTGCCCACTCACCCCCAGCTCCTTGATGGCATTTCAGGTGGGCATTAAGGGCACAAGGACCTTCTGTTCTGTTTCTTCCCTCTCAAAGTAAGATTCCATTTGAATTAAATGGAGGAGGAAGAGATGCTTTAAAATGAACATGCAGCACGGTGCAAGGTTTCGAGCACTCCATCTCCCAGAAGTCCTGGGCCAAGGATCCTGGGACGTGAAGTTCAAACTTTTGCAAGGACTCGAGGTTGTGTGCCTTCTATTCGCACAATGGCCCTAACTCCTTGAACGGCTGGGGAATTTATGAGCAGGGAGTTCTCCATGAATAGCTCTCTGCAGAAGCTCAGAAACGACGGAATTCTACATGTAGTGGGGACTGCGGCATGTGCCGAATGAACCGACAGGATTCTTCCCTTAGACAGCGAGAGCTGTGACCGTGTACGTGTGGGAGACTGTCTTGGTCACATCTGCTCTCAAAGTCATCAAATTCATGCACTTTTGATGAATCGCTTTTTCTCCCTGTCCATACAGAGGGTGTGTGTGTGTGGGGGGGTGTCCCTTGTAATTTGGAAAGCCACTTTTAGACTAGACTTGGGGAGTTAACGACTCAGGTCCCCCACTGAGCCACAGCACTCATTAGACCGCCTTCAGTCTCTCCCTTCCTCACCAACCTCACAAGACTGTTGCAAAGATCAAACGGGGAGGGAAACAGCTGTGTACGCCATCCATGAGCTGCTCCAAGGAGAGGTGGGATCTAAAGGTAACTAAGAAGTTAAGGAACTAAAAATATGATGTTGTCCAGCAGCTTCTTGAAGAAGAAAAAGATGTAATAGGCCACTAAAACCTGACTTTGTACAATGTGTTATGCATTCTCGGTTCTACTGTATGGCACAGAATCATGAAACTCAGCAGGACCTTCTATATATATATAAAAAGATAAATGCATTTGAAATATGGATGTATAACCATGTTGTTGGGAATTTATTGGGCTGAGAAGGTGACCAAATAAGAAGTACGAAATTGAGTGAATAAGGCCTACAACTCCCACGATCCCCTAACCCACAAAGGCTGAGGGATTCTGAGAATTCTAGTCCAAACCTTTTAGAAATAGGAAATCCGGCTAGCTCTACTCACCCTCCCTCGTTCTACTTCTTTGGTCGTCATGACAATGACATGCGTTTTCTCCTGGTAAACCATGGCCCAGAAGTCATTGACGGTAGTTTGTAGACAGCCCTGGGTGGCAATGTAGACTTTGCTATGTTCAGAGCTCTGCCCGTCTTCGAGAATGTTCTGGAATCAGCAACAGAGGCAGCGGGAAGGAAGATGAGAAAAGACAAGGAGAGGAGACACTGAAAAGGGTGGAGGGGGGAAAGGGCCATGGAGGACCCGGTAGACAACCTACTAATGAATATTCTTAGACCAGCAGAGCTGGAAGGGACCGTGGGGAGCATTGAGTCCAGCTCCTGCCAAGAAGGCCCAGTGGGGGAATCAAACTTCCTAAACCACTAGGATATATTCAACAGTTCATGTCTTCTGATATGAGCCACCAACCAATTGAGAGACATTTTAATTCATGAAACACCTGCCTTTGTCAGCTGACTGGATTAAATTTAGGACGGAAAGACAAGGCAATTTTGTCCTCAACATGAAAGGCGTTTTTAAAGAGGAAGGGCTTTGTCTGCTGTTTCTACTCATCCCGGCTTCATTTCTGATAGCAAAGTTCATGTCAGATCAATTCTCTCTCGAGGAAATAAATACTGTCAATCTCCAGCCTTAAACAAAGTTGTGTATTACTCCTCCTGTGAGATGAATATGTGGAGTACTGTAATTTATGAATGTACTCTTCATCTGGGCTGATCCTTCTTTTATCTGGTATCACAGATCAAGTCACACACACCCTTTGTTTGTCTGTTAAAGCAACGGACACAATCCCCAAGTCAATCAACTCAAATGCGAGTTGATTAATCTGGTGCAATGGCTATGAAAAAAAAAAAAAAAAAAAAAAAGGGTGGCAGACCTATTCACTAAAATTCGACAGCTCCGACCATCCTTGGAAAAAAAAAAAACTTGCCAAAGGCAAGGAAGGGGAAATGTATTTTTTTCTCAGTGGAAGACTGCACACAGTTAAGAGTTAGCTTTGTAACTCCACCCACTTTGGGCTCTGGCCACACCCACTATACAAAAGCACTGGTGACATCACAGAACAGGGCCTATACGAACTGAACAGCTGATCCTGGGTTCAAATTCCGCCTTCTCTCCCTCTCCTCCAGCATCAGGTCCATATCTTCTCTACTCACCTTGATATAATTGGCATTGATGTAGTCGGAACCCGGGACGCTCTGGTCCACTTCACGGAGGGCCACACGGGTTGTGTCAACTGTGGGGACAGAGCAAAAAAAAGCTGCCTAGGTTAGGTGAGGCCCACGCCAGAGGAAAACTTTTAGAAGCAGAAGGCATTGCAGAGGTCAGACATGTTCTATCCCACCTTCCCTCCACTAAAAACCCTGAGCCAGTGCATGTAGCATTTCCCCGACACACAACTTATTCTCAAATTGCTAATGAGAGCCAAAAAATGCAGGCAGCCATGTTGAACCACGTCAATAAACCCACTTCTCTTTCACGGTCAGCAGGAGCGAGCTTTTCGCCTCCTGGATGGGGAGGTTCTTCTCTTAAAAACATGCACACGTGGGGAAGCTTACAAGGGAGGATGTTCTTATAGCGGTTCTTTGCCTTGTTTTCTGGCCGCTGTCCTTCTTTTCTGGGATACAGGAATTTGCACTCTTGCTGCTGTAACATCTGTGGGGGGGGGGAACCATGGGTGGGATGAGAATCAATAACTTTACAAAGAAATTAGGTGGAAATCACCATTAAAAAAAACAACAACAACCCACAACTTCCTGTACCTCAAACTCCTCCCAGAATCCTTGCTTGGCCTTCTCGCTGTGGTCCGCCATCTTGTTCAACTCTTTCACTCGGTTCTCTATGTTGGCCGCAATGATTCGGGTGGCATTGAAAGGCTGAAAGAATGCAAGGGACGGGGGGGTGTGTGTCACCTCCAAGCACGAGGGACAAGCAAAGAGCAAAAGGGAAATGGAGAGAGAGGGAAAACTTCCAGAAAGCACAACAAATCCAATCTCTAACACCGCAGGAAATCTTGCTAGATCTTGGAAATAACTCATTTCAAACCACAGACCACTGGTAGCTAATTTCTTTCCTCAGTTAGTTCTAACTACATCGTCATCAGAGACTAGGATGTTGGTAGAATAAGGTTAGCATGTTACATTGACCTTTGCTGAGCTAAAAAATCTACTATGTTTACATTAACTTTGGGTAGTGGAAACATTTAAATACTTTAAGTTGCCATTATGTTAACCATTGGTGTTTTAATGTTAAAAAATACAAGACTGGTGAAGAAAGAGGCCTCTAAGACTTTGGTTGATGCTGTTGCCCCCTAGTGGCATATTTTGTTATTGAAGCCTTCAAAGGGGCTCGTTTGGACATTTCAGCTGCTTTCTCCACCTAGGAGGTTTACAGACATAATTCCCACAACCTGATGACCAGCTAGCTATGGCTCGGCTCATAGTTCACAATGTCTGGAAATTGGAAAGTTGGAAAAGGCTACCTGTAAAATATTTTATCCAACAACCTGTATAAATAGGTTTCACATTCCCCACCACATCATGCCTACTTATCTCTGGCAACATCTGTGCTGCTTGCTCACCCTTTGCTCATCCCCATCTTCTGAGCTATCCTCTGACACATTACCTGTTTCAGGTGTACAACTGCCCCAGATTTCTCCACCATCGGGTTCTTCTTATAGTGCTCCACCAAGTCCGTGAGGGTGTCAAAACGCTCGCCGCCTCCCACATCATATTTTCCATCTGGCTATCGAGTGGGGGGAGAAAGCATTATAATCGTAAGACTACACACCAAAAAAAAGGGGGTGGCGGTAACTTTTTTGGGACCCACAGCCAGGAATCAATCAAACCACCTACATGCAGGAATGGGGACCACTGATCTGCAAAAAAAGATAAAAGCCCCAGCGGAGCCTCTTCTTCCTGGGGCCCTTTACCTGATAGCGGATCATGATGTGAGTCACCCGGGGCTTCCGATCCCCCGTGTCCGCTTTGTCCTCATTCGTCAGCACTGACAAAACAAAGTCGCCTGGCTTGCTTTGGCTGCTCCGTACCAGGAAGCTTCCTGGCTTGCCTTTCTCGGTTAGGAGATTCTCAGCCTCTTTGCCCGTCAGATGGCCATGGTACCATCTAGGAAGGGAAGGAAGGAAGATTGTGGTTCAAAGACCAAGGGGGTAACACCACAAATTCAAACCCTCATCTCCACCATGAATTTCTTCCCTCCCTAACCTGAGCAAGGGCTGGCTCTGTCACTGGGTAGAGTGACATATCTGCCCTTAGGCACTGTGTTTTGTGACTACTGGGAGCATTTACAACCTTGCCTGCTGCCTGTAGTAAATATGGCTAGGAGGTAATTTTCTGGATTGGAGTGACTGACAATCATTCCCTCCCACCTCTGAATCCAAAGAGAGCCCTGCTTCTTTGCTGAGTAGTCCTTTCCCCTCTCTTTTGAAGTCAGTAGTTTGTTTGCTGTTGATCCGTCCAGTTGGTTGCTAAGTATGACTGCAGTAAAGAAAGCAGCATGTACAAAGTTCTGCAATTTCGAGCAATTGTATGTAAAGAAATGTTTCTTATGCTTTCTACCACAAATGTCACAGAGTGAGTTACTGAGATTGTAAGTACCAGCTAATGAGAAAGGGATGGACTATCTGGGGAACTTGTAGCTATTCTCCTCTGTGGATCTCTGTACAGTGGTGCCCCACTCAACGATTAGCCCGTATAACGACGAATCCACTTCACAACGATGTTTTTGCAATCGCTTTTGAGATCGCAAAATTATGTTTGAATGGGTTTTTTTTTTCACTTAACGACAATCGGTTCCCTGCTTCGGGAACCAATTTTTCGCTTTATGACGATTTTCCAACAGCTGATCATTGGATGTCAAAATGGCCACTGCTGTGCAAAATGCCCCCCCCCACTGTTTTTAGGTCTGATTTTTCATTCTACAGGCACTGGAAAATGGCCGCCCTATGGAGGATCTCACTGGACAATTAGGTATTTTGCCCATTGGAATGCATTAACCGGCTTTTTAATGTGTTTCAATTAGTTTTTTTATTTCGTTTGATGATTTCGCTCTACAGCGATTTTGCTGGAACGAATTAACGTCATCAAGAGAGGCACCACTGTACTTCTACTGCTTAGCAAAGTAATTTTGCCAGAAATTCAAAACTCTGCAACAATGATAAGGAAGAAGATTGCTATTCATTTATTTGTCATTATTGTATTCCATGGCTATGTATCATTTTATCATCAAGGAAAGGGAGCTGTGTCGCCTTGGGTCCTTTTAAGGAGAAAGGTGGGGGTAAAAATATTTTAAATAAATAAATGTGTTAAATCTTCTGTCTTAGGAGTCATGCTAACGTGACTGCCCTTGGGATCAATGGAGGAAGAATGAAATGAGTTCAGGCACCCCTACACAAGAAAATTCTCAAGGATTCACAAGCAAGTATTTGTTACATCCTCAATTTTTTTAAAAAGTGTGGTTCTTCTTGCTTCCCCGAGATGGCGCCTCTGGACTATTCCAGACTAGCAGAGGCTCCCTCTGGGTCCTGATCCCACAATGTCACCTCTCCGGCTACTTTCCCCTGGAGGGTCACATCCTGCTTCCCAGCTCTCTTTCTGTCGAAATCAAGGAAGGAGGGTGGCTAATGAGAGTTAAGCAAACAGGAGAAGAAGAAAAAACTCAAAATGTATATGTAAGCAGACCCAACACCCACAGCTGGCTTGGCTTCTTCTATCACCTTTATACTAGCAGTATTTACTGTAGCCTCCAGAGAACGGTATAATTACTTTAGTCATGATTTCAAGAGTTTTTAATTTTAAAAGACAGCCAATATATCTGCCATGCAGACAGCTCCAAAGTGATTCAAAACATAAGCTAGATTCTGTACTCTCTCACTATCAATTATTTTTGTGACAGCCTGGGCTAGGAGCAACAAGGAAGGATTGGGTCCAAAGGGGTTTGTACTATGTCAGAACAGAAATCTCAGGAAGCACATTGTGACTTTACACAATTTTATGCAGTGAAAGTGGAAGGAAAGCTTCCGTATATCTGAGACCACCATGTTATTTCCGAAGTTTTTTGCAGATTTTTAAGCACTTTCTTCAAATAAGCAAAACTGAGTGAGAACTGCAGTAAATGTTGCCTAACTACATGGACCAGTCAAGGTAGAAGCCCTGGATGGGTTGCTCGCCTGCGTCTTTGTGATCAGCCAGTCTGCCCTTTTGTGCTTGCTATATGTGCATGCTTAGCATCCCAAATGGAAGAGACCATACATAAATGGAATTTTGCGCAGAGTGATTCTGCTTAAGTTGTGCAAAAACCAGCACTAGGTTTCAGGCTGGAGGCCCGATCTCTTGGTAGAAAGGAGAAAATCTTCAGCAAGCTGTGTCATTATGTAAATTAGCCATGCTGAGATTTCCTCTCCCCCTTCATCTCCCCACCCAAGGTACAAAAACTAATGATTTTTAGGAGCGAATCCAGGAGAGCCACTCACCTCTCCGAGGTCGGATCCTGGCAATTCAGAGGGAATTTCAGCTCAATGACATTGCTGTTCTTCTCCCGTAACAGTCCCTGCTGCTCAGTGTAATACTGGATCAGCTCTGCTAAGGTGGCAAATTTCTCTCCTCCGTAGAGGTCGTAATAGTCCCCGCTGTTCTGGATTTTGATGTGGGTCACCTCGTTGTTTCTCCTGGAGCACAAAATCGGGGTGGGGGGGAAGGGAGGGAGAACAGAAGTGTCTGACACTATAATCCATCATGTTTATCATCATGCCCGCCAATTGTTATGTGTTCCACGCCATCTTTAAGGCATTTCCAAAACAAGACTCGGCAAAGCGGACTTCATTTCCCCATTTCTCCACTAGTCTTCTGCTGCATGGGGAAAGGAAGGGAGGCAATGAATTTGGGTGAACCATCTGTTGGGGTGTGGAGTTCGAGATCTCAACAAGGCAAGAAACCCATGGAGTGATCTTCAGCCAGCAACTCCCTCCCTCCCCCTTCCGCTTGACCCACGCAGGACTGTTGTGCAGTTGGACTTGGGGTGCTGGGCGAGAGAAGAGCCCCCCCACCCGGGTATGTCACCTTGGGCTCAAGAGGGATGGGCAGAATAGAAATGTGAACTTGTCAATGAAGAGGAGTGGGCAGAACTAAGAATTGGCACCTTTCAAAATGGCCACATGGACCCTTACTTGAAAAAGGAGGGGAAAAAGTCCCTCTTCCTGGAGGCAAAAGCCTGGGTGAATACATCGAGAGCTGTTGGATACATCGGTTGGTCAGCTTCTTTGGCTGGGAGTCGGGAGCGGAGGGGGTGGGGGATTCAAATTAGGAAAGGGGAAGGAACTCAAACTCATCCATCAAGCCTCTGAAGTCTGGATGAACTCAGCAGGCGGCCGGACTCTAAGTGCCTCTAAAATGCAATTAGCCTCCTCCATCAGGAAGGCTAGCCAGGCCGAAAGACGGCCAAAAGGGGCTCGCAAGCTTTTAGCGTTCTCCCTTAAGAGCCAAATGGAGTTAACCCTCCAAGTGCTGGAAAGAAGGGTGCAGCCAGTTTACTCCCATCCCGCACGCCCCCCCCCCCCAAGGGCACCTCCCAGTTCCTCTCACCACTGTGGCATCCTTTGAAAACAAAAAAAGAGAACAGTAACAAAAGTTAAACATTGGCAGGTTTATAAGCCACCTAGATTAGTATATCTTAACATATCGCTTTGGCTAGGATTGTGAAAGTTCTGGAAATTGGTATTAAATAGGAGAGGGTTGAGATAAATGTGCAAAAAAAGGACCAAAACAGTATGTGTCATGTTTGGGTTATTTTAGGGTAACTATGGGGCAGAGCAAAGAGCCCCACTGTCTGTGAGGTGGAAGGACACCCTTCCCATTCTTTGCAAAATGTACGGAATTAAAACTTTTTTAACCAAAGAAGCCAAGGCATTTGGATTCAGGAGGTGGAAATAAAAAGGTTGGGCATGGTGGAAGGCGAAATATGGTTGACTCCGCACATTCTAGTTGCATCCTATACATCTGCTTACAACCCTATACCTGCAGAGGTATAAGGGTAGAGTGAAGGGTTCGTGTTCTCATTGGTACCTTAATGGCAGGGCCAGCCCTGGATCTCATACTGATCTTGATCTTAGAACAGGGTAGCTGGAAGGGTCCCTGTGGATCCTCGAATCCATCCCTTGACAAGGAGGCTGAGCGGGGAATCAAACTCCCAACCTCTGGCCCCGCAGCCAGATGCCTTAAACCATCAAGTACACCATCTAGCAGTTCCTAACCGTTCCAAAGTGAACTTAAGCCTTGGAGAGAGAAGGATCCAGGCAAAAATGCTAAGCGATGCACCCAAGCCTGACTCCTGACTACATCTGAACACACGGCAAAGCTTTGGCAGAGTCAGGGTCCCTTCGCAGGATGCCAAAAATGGTTTGCACGGGAGGGTCTCCTGACGTTGCACTGTGGCGGCAGCTATCAAGGGAAGGCCGCCGGCCCTCTTCAATCGCTCCGGCTGGATAAAATCATTACATGAAAGCAGCTGTCACTGCTAATGCAGCATAGAGCGAGGAGACCCTCCCTTCCCCCCCAGTGCCATCTTAGTGGGGTTTAACCCACCCACTCCTTCTTTCTCCAAAACACACAACTGCAGCTGCTAATTACATCCAAAGCCACAAGAAAGCTCTCCAGCTGATTTTAAGAGCGTGTTCGATGATGACTCTCCCCATTGGGGGATCTATAGCTAGAAAACACAAGACTTTTTCTATCAGTTGTTGGGGGTTTTCCGGGCTATTTGGCCATGTTCTGGAGGTTTTTCTTCCCAGAATCTGTGGCCAGCATCTTCAGAGGACAGGAGTCAGAACTTCTGTCCTCTGAAGATGCCAGCCACAGATTCTGGCAAAATGTTAGGAAGAACAACCCTAAGAAGGTTGGGACCATCGGATCCCAACTCACCACAACCATCGGATCCTGGCCATGAAAGCCTTCCAGAATACACTTTTTCTATTCCCTGACATTTCACATGACTGAGGTTTATAAAAACCCACATTTTAGACTCACGGGGCTGCTGCCAGCCTTTAGTTTACAGGCAACCACTGCTATAGTAATGCAGCCTGTTTATGCCCTAGTTACTGCCAGAAGAAATTAGTTACAAGTAATTATTTTTCTTCCTCGGTCTACCAAGGCACGCTGGCCTACTGAACCCCACTGATGGTTAAGCGTGCATTTGTTTCCAAGCTTGGAAAAGTTACTTTTTCAGTGGCTGGAAAGGAGCAAGGACCTGCAGTTGCATCAAGTAACTCTTCTAAAGGCTCATTTGAATTTACCGTGTTAATAGTTTTGATCTCATTTTTGCTCTACCTCCTTGGTTTATTGTAACATTTCAAATCTCATCTCTCTTGTTCCGCACAGTGCTTAGTTTAAAAGGCAGATGAAAGAACCAGGTGGCTGTTAAAATATTACACCTCGAATTTAAGACATACACACGTGCCTCAATAAGAAACTATAGAGCCAACTGGTTTAAAAATCCATCCAAGCACCTAGATCGAAAAGAGAAAGAAAACAACCCTACGAGGTAGGCTAAGCAGAGGCCCTACCACCTCTGTAATAATAAATGAACTGACGAGGCCCCACCACCCAGCAAATGGGACCAACACCCCCTTCTTGACAGCAACGGATAACCAGATGGCCAGGGAGAGACAAAGCCCTCCTTTTACGCTCTGCTCCCTTCTCTCCATCCTTTCCCCCCCTCCCAAACCCCAAATTACAAAGCTTCCGTTGAAGGAAAGCCATCCCCCACCCCACCCCCTTTTGCCTGGCCTTCCCAACCAAAGGCCCTCCAGCACTTCATGATCAGGGGTGGGGGATGAAAAAAAAACAGACAATCACATCCATTTAGCCCAATTCTCCCCCCACACACACACACGTATCGCCAGGGCAGAAAGAATTCACTCCTAAGTGTCCCAGTTCGGAACATCAAGCAGCCTTTCTCTCTCTCTCACACACACACACACACACACAACCACACAAGGAAATACAGCCCCCCCCAATGTGTGTGGGGGTGTTGGGCGGAGATTGCCATTTAAATCAGACAAAGCTCTCTGTGCAAAAGGCAATGCGCCTCGTCGGTTAGGCATCACTGCGCAAGAACATTAAGGCCATGTCCTCAGACGCCATCCAAGGCGGACCGAATTCTGATTCTCTGCCAAGCAAAGAAAAGCATGGAGTGTCATCTGGGACTGGGTGTCAAGAATTCAGCATCCGGGCTCTCTCAGCTTTCGGACATCCTCCTTGGTCGGTTTTGTTTGTTTGTTTTAAACAGGACCAAGTTTCTAGATCTCATGGGAGGAGGGAAAAGGCCAAAAGGTACGGGCCAAAAGCCGACACACAAACAGGAAGATTTCTAACAGGGAATGAGAACCATCAAGATTTCTCCTGTGAAAGGAAGAGGTGAGCTTCGAAAGAGCTCATGGCCTGATGTTTCGGCCAAGAGCCCCACCAGCTTAGCCTTCAAGGGTTATGGAACATGTAGTCCGAGGATTTGAAGGATTATAATTCTTGTTTAACTTTTTTTGGTCCCGTTCCCTTACAATCGAATAAAATTATGTAAAACAAGGCAACCACCCCTTTTATAAAGACAAGTTGTTAAGGGACCTCATCACAGTCATTCAAAGTTTAACTCACTATCAATTCCTACAAGAATTGTAAAGTTTAATTTTAGCTCCTTTGCTATTTGTTTTAAAGAAAAAAAATTAGGATGGTTCGTCATCATTATCATAATCATCATTATCATGCGCCGTCCAGTCAATTCTAACTGATGGCGACCCTTTTCAGGCTTTTCCAGGTGGAAAATACACAGAAGTGGGGTTCCATTCCCTTCTTCTGGAGGACAGGGGGATCCCTGGGGACGGTGCCGCTGGCCCAAGGCTACCTGGGCCGGCTCTCTTCTCAGGAGGCACAGTGGAGGAGCTGAACTCCCAGCTTCTGGCTCTGTAGCCAGACACCTAAACCAGCGAGCTATCCAGTCAGCTAAGATTATTAACAGAAGGGAATAAAAAGAAATTATTCCAAGTGGGAGGATTTGTGTTGGGTTGGTTGCCTTGTGCTTGTTTGCTTGTGTTGGGTTGTTGCTAAAACAACAACAACAAAAACCAAGAAACTTTTGGTACTTTAAAGACCTACTGAACTTTATTCGCATAAGCTGTCGTGGGAACGCAGCCTACGGTCATCGGATGAGTGGCGTGCTTGGTGTCCTTGATGGCATACACCCACAAACGTTTACGCCACATAAAAGTGTTCAGCCTTTAATGTCCTGATAGACTTCACTAATAAAAGTGGAATATTCCCATTCAAAGATGCTGCTAGAAACATCTTCGAAAAGTAACTTACCGGTAACTAAAACAGGGATCTTTGCACCTGAGAATGTAATGTTTTCCCCGCCCATTGTGTTACTTTCCAAATGTAACTCTGTTGCATTGTTATTAGTGCAAAAAAAAAATAAAAAAATAGCAAGCTACGTTATTGGTAACGCGTTATTTCCAAGTTCTGATCATTTCTAGTAACACTACTCTGAGTAGGAGAAGCAAACACACAATCTAAGAAGACATTTCCCATTCCTCATCCTCCCATCTCCCGCTTTAAGCAATCAATACAACATCCGGTGCTGAAAAAAAAAATGGGATCCATTCCCATAAAAGTGTGCCTCATTTATCCCGTTCAGCGGCCAGGTCGTTCAGAGGTTTTTCAAACTCCTGTCCTCAGCAGCTGCATTTTCCCATGGCTGGCCCAAGGCCCAAAAGGCTTCTTAGAGAAGCCCGCACAAGGAACGTCAATCCCTGGCCTTTAAATTATTTACAGAGATCTTGCTCCAGTTGTTAAATGGATGCTCTTATTCCCCAGGGCCCCCCCAAGCAATCAGGCTAAACATTCAGAGGTTTCGGAAGCTCAAAAGCAGCCTTTCGATACAGAGCGCTGAAGTTCTCCCGTTGCATGCTAGATCTCGGTGATCACCAAGGAAGTTGAAAGGTGGAAAAACCAGAAGGGAGGGGAAGGAAGGGGGAATATTTCTCCCCACCATGCATGAAATTCTGTGAATGGAGGAGGTCAATCACTCCAGAAAAGCCTCATCTGGAAGCACTGCCATTTTCACATTCATTGGCCTTTCCCTCAGGTTTGAAATCACCCAAATTTGGGTTCAAAAGCCATACTCAACTGAAGGAATATGAGATCTATCAGTAAAATGAGGGCCCACTCTGCTCTCTGGGACGTGGTTCATGCAGAACCATTTTATATGACACTCTCAAGTGCTTCATTTAAACATTATTTCTGATTGCCATTCCAGGCCGAACACACAGATCTCGGCTGATTTGGGAAGGGAAGCAGAATCACACCTGGTCAGTCCTTAGATGGGAGTCTGACAAGGATTTCCAGCTTGGGCTAGGAAAGAATGCTGGCTAGAGCCCCAGAGAGCCAATTGCTGGAAGTCAGGATCAACAAAAATTGGGCTAAATGGAAGGCGGATGTGATCAGACGGTTCCCTAGATTCCTAATTACGTTTCCAGCTCTTACCTGACTGATAAGGTGAAGTCTCCAGGGTTGCTTTTGCTAGGCCGTGCCAAGAAGCTCCCGTGGACGCCTCTGGTAAGCAACAGCTTCTCTGCTTCGATGCCATTGATATTTGGGTGAAACCACCTTGAGGAAGGGGAGTAGGTTGGGGGAAAGAAAGGCAAAACCAACAGCGTTAATGAGCGTGCCAGGACATGGAGGCATCCAGGGAACACGGGCAGCACAATGGCTTTTGTTCAACTAAGGCAAATGGCAAGCCTGGCTGCAGATTTGCTGTAAGCACTAGGGATGGCATTTTCAGATTTGTTTGAACTACATCCCCCACAATTCTCCTTTCTGGGAGTTCTACCTGACTTAGCCACCCCTTACATATGCTTCAGTGTGGCTCACCTGGGAGAAAGGCCTCAACTGGAAGGCTGTGTGGCGGAGCTTGGCCTAAATCCATCCAAGCTTCCTGTTCCTGCCCCAGTGCTTGCTGGGAGCTCTGCTTCCGAGCAGGAAGCAAGGCTTGTGCAACCAGGCTCACAATTTTGAGGAGGAAGAAAAATGTGCATGAGTGAGAGAGAAATAATGAACTCCCAGCCAAGTCCTGGACTTGATTATCCAGAAATGGGACTCAGATACAAACGCAGGGAAATGCCAGAGAGCCCAGTTTAATAATTTGATGAACCCGCTAACTCATTAATTGGGGTTTTTTAAGAGCTATATCAGCTTCACCCTCAACAACCAGCCAACCATCAACTGCATCAGAACCCAAACCAGAGAAACACCAAGATTCTATTTTGGAAGGAATGCATGGGAAGTAACAATGTTACTTTGAGAGAATACATTGTTACCAACATACATAGTTACTTTTTATTTAAAAGAATGTAACAAGTAGTACTATTGTTACAACTGGTAACATTATTATTGTTGACTCTAAAATTTTGCTCATTACTTTTAGAGCATCAATTCCAGGGGAGAATATTTAGCCACTTGGGTGTGTGGTTTTTTTTGTTGTATTTTATTATATTTTTAACAAAATAAAATATCCAAAATCTAAGTTAATAATAAGGGCTTTAAAAAAAACACATAAAGTGACTTGTTCTCAACAAGACAGTCTGTCTTGAGACACTGAGATTGTCAATGATGAGAAATTGTTAGTCTCATTTCCAATGTGAGAACAGGAAAGGGGGGCAGGGTTTTTCCATCAAGGTTTAAGTGATTTCCATAAAATGCTATTGTATAAAAACTAGGATCTTTTCCTTTTACAAAAGAACACACAGTAAGCGTGGAAATGCTAGGTGATTGAAGAAGAAGAAGGAAAAAACCCATCTACTGCCTTGAATTTTTTTAAAAAAAAATTGTGAAACAAGGCAGCGGCTTTTGTCGTTTTGCATTATTTGTGCTACTTGCCCAAAAATCTGTTCCCACAAATTTGAGAACTCTCATTGAAAGTGGCAGAAAATGTCATACAGCAAAGAGAAAAATGCAGGCTCCTCATTCTCCTGCCTGAGAATGAGACAAGCAAGACTTTAACATTGCTAGTAACGTGTTACTCTTTTGAGTAATAAGCAAAGGATAACATGAACACCCTGCTCTCATGACAAAAAAGAGGAAGAAACAACTTTTCTTTTTAAAAGGAATGTTCTAAGCTTTGCATGCCCTGCATAGAGAAGTACGACCCACTGTTTGGTGTGACTAAGTGTAATGACAGGAAGGAAAACGGGGCCAGACCAAAATAGCCAGTTCAAATGCCATCAGCTCCCAAGCCAGGAAGTCAAAATGTCAAGCAGCTTTCAATAGTGTCTGGCCTGTAACCAAGATAATGATTACTTTAAAAATAAAAAAAATAAAAAATGAGGAGGAAAAAGCATCCCGATGCAGAGCTCCTTATATGGTTCTCTCACTGGGGAGGAAAAGACTGGGGTTTGAGATTTTCCGAGAGCAAAATCTCAAACTGATTCCCCCCCCTTAAAGCACCAGTTCGACAGACAGCAAATATATATATTAAATATTTAAAATCTGCATCCCAAAGTTTGAAACAGCTTGCGATGGGAAAGGAGAATCAAAGCAACACAATTTATGTGAAATCAGAGCCATATGCCAGTTCGTTGACACATTTCTGTGCCGGGGAATGAATTTTGGTGGCATTTATAGAGGGGGAAGATGGATTTGGGATCGAGCGCTTACTTGTCTCTTCCTGAGAGATGTTTCTTTTGATGATGACCTGCAGGTGATGACCCTACCAGATGCTTGGGAAATTACTTTCAAAAAGTAACTCATTGCTATTGTGACTTGTTGGGAGTACCTGAAAAGCAATTAATTATCATTACTCCTTGCACTGCCAAAACTGTGCCTGATGGCCTTACTTCTTCCTTTTTCATTCATGCTTTGGGCCCTTCCCTTAAAAGATCGCTTCCCTGTTCTGATAAACAAGGACATCAGAAGCTGTCTTCAAACAAGTTATTAAGATGTTCCCTTGAGGTCAATGGACAAGAAAAAGCTCTTTAGGACAGTGGTTCCCAACCTTGGTTCCCCAGATGTTCTCGGACTAAAACTCCCAGAAGCCTCCACCACCAGCTGGGCTGGCCAGGATTTCTGGGAGTTGTAGTCCAAGAACATCTGGAGACCCAAGGTTGGGAACCACTGCTTTCAGGATATGCGTTTTTCCCAGCCCGACCTGGAGATGCAGAAGATTTCACATGGGACCTTCTGGATGTAAATATACATAATTTTATGATGTTTATGATGTTTACACTGGATTAATGTTCATTGCGGATTAGTGTTCTGGTATGCCGATCAACCACAGTGAAGACTGAATGCAAAATGGACTGACTACTGTTCCCAGAGCCCTCTCTGGCCGATCACCAGCAACTTTTAGAGCTCTTTAGAGGCATGAAAATGCTAGATTAAACCAGGAAAAAAATTATATCTGGCCCAGTTTACTATTTACAATGCTGGACAGCCAGATACTTCCAGATACCTTCAAGGCTAAAGGCGTGTTTCGTCAACAGCACGTGGGACACGGTACATAAAAGTTTGGCAATTCCAAATTTGTTTTAAAAGGCATCCAAACATGCATATATTTGGGGGGGGGGGAAATGTCCCAAAATATGCCTGTGGGGAAAAATAACGTATAAATTGCGTTTTATTTTGTTTCCACAACATGTATAGCATTGCATACCAATCTTAAATACTGGAATCATTTCTTGTTCTTAGCTTTTCATCCCATTTATGGTTTTCCTACTGGAAGTGGCCTTGGGTCCTTTTCAGGAGAAAGGGTTAGGGTATATAGAAATATTTAAAATAATTAAATAAGGTCTTGCTTCCTTTAAAAACAATCCTGAAGAGACACAGAAGAAGAAGGGTATTAACACAACCTTTGGGGGAAACAGAGAAATCAAAATTGAAGGCTTTGGTTTTCAAAGGTATTTCCCCCCCTCATATTCAGCTACAATAGGATAATTCTCTTCTCTTCCACCCTCTTTTTATTTATTAGCAAAAGGAACGGGAGAAAAAAAGACAGAGAGCTTTGGTGGTCCTTCCAAACAACCCAGGACGGATGTGGCCAGAAGAAAAAAAAAGACATGCCTTCCAAGAAAATGAGCATGTTTGGATTCTTGCATAGCTTGAGATCAGGGTGGGTGAGTGTGAACGGGATGGAAAGGGGAAAGCGACAGGAAGCCTGTCCTCCCGTTTTCAACTCCAGAAGACATCAACATGCAGATGGACGGAACAGATTGTTGACAAACGTGTTCACAAGTCCACCACAAACATTTACAGCACAAGGCAACCTGTTGCTACGACCGCCAACGTCTTATCTGCACAGTCATCTGGCCGAGAAAGGCAGACCCTGTTTCCCCGTAAAGGGCCAGAGCCAAACTATTCCCCATCTGCAAAACATCCACCTCCGAGGTGGGCCATTAAGAGTCAAGCATCGGCGTGGCCTCGATCGTGCTCTGTTGGTCATATACATAGAAGCAGAGATGGTGACTATCCGGGCATCAGAGAGAGATGTGGCATCCTGTATAGAAGTGTCCCAGGATCGCACCAGTCCCTACTCGTCCCTGTTTGCACAGACAGCAACCCAAAACCATCAGAGCAAACGAGGAGAGACTCAAACCGCTTGATTCACTGTCAAGTCAAGCAGAAGTTGGATTGGTGACATAACTCTGGCTCAACTTAAGTTTTTTTTTTTTTTTTACCATGACTTGGTCTCAACTCACCACTTGGGGAAAAAAGCTTGTTCTTAATAGGGACTTAGCAGGACTTGGTACCAAAGATTCAGACTTGGGACTCTGACCCAAACTCTTGCCAACATCCCTGGAAAAAAAAAGAAAAGGCCAGGCCTTTCTCCTTAAGGCACACAAACAGCAAGACCAAACATGGGCCCGGGTCTTCCATGCAGGCAACCCAACCCATCACTGCTTCTCCATATATATTTTTTGTGAACCCTGGGCTTGTCTGAAACCGCTTCAGACCCTCTTGGCTGCAAAGGACCACCTGTGGCCAAACAAACAGAGCAAGGATGGGTTCTTTAAAGCTAGTGGCCCTTTTCATTCCAAACTGGAACAACAACAACAACAACATTGTCAGTAGAGGAAAAGGAGAGGGGGGGATAAAATGGACACATCCAATTCACTTCCTCTATCTATTTAAAGACTTAAAATTGATCATAGCTAAAGGGGGGGGGATTGGAGTTTAGTGGGAACCCATATTCTTCGTAGGTTCCCCATTCAATCAAACCTTCAAAGAGTCTTGATGAGTTTAGAAGTAGCAGTAAAGATGTAATATGCCACCCAGAGTATAAGTAAATAAGTAAATAAATAAGTAAATAAATAAGTAAATAAATAAGTAAATAGGTCAATCAATCAATCAATAAAGAGAAGGAACTTTCTTTGCTTAGAACGAAACAGCTTGAAGGGAGCCTGGATCATCGAGTCCAGCCCTTGTCAAAGAGGTCCAGTGGGGGATTCAAACGCCCGACCTCTGGTTCCACAGGCAAGAGACTAAACCACAGAGCTATCCAGCAGTACTTGAACCCCTTGAACACTTCTTGTAGTCAAAGAAAATTGGGCAGGGGAGTGTTTAGGGGTCCTATTTTCAGGCTGAGGACTAAGTTCCCATTCTGGGAGGACTTCAAG